GGCATTTTTTTAAATCACACTTTACATATATTTTTGTGCTTCACTTTTAACTTCACTAGTTATTTATCTTTCCAATCCTGAATATACTGGAGTTCTTTGAGATATCTGGCCAGATGTGTGTAATAAAGTGGAGCTTTGCCTTGAGTTAGGGGTTCCTCAAGATTTACTCCAGACCATTTTCTCCTTTGCTATTTTACTCTGTTATGAAAGTTAGTTGCTTGCTATATTCCCAGGTGGATGTTAAAAACTCTAGTTATTGTTTAGGATCAGGGAACTGACTCCCTTATTCCTTTTGCAATCCAGATTCTGAGGTTTCTCATGTGCTCCCATTGGGTCACATTACTATCCCACCAGGGTTCCTGATTAGGAAAGTAAACATCTGCAGATAGGATGTCAGGGGAAGCCACAGGTTCTCAGTCCCAAAGGCCATCTCTACTCTCCTGACCATATTCTCTCACAAGGAAATAGAATTCCTAGTACAGAAAGTAGTTAATGCAGGTGTATGATTGTGGGTCCAATCACTGTTGTAATTGTTGAGCCACCATTGGGGATCTTCTGGTATGGGCTTTAGTTCCCTCCTAAAGTCCTTACTTTAGAACTGGATACAGCAGCAGTGAGGAATCTTACCCACACACCAGAGGAACCTCCATGAGGTGGAAAATAACTATGGTTTCTCTTCACCTAGAGAAGGAAAGGGCCAGTTTGAACATCCTTTTCTCCTTGCTCCAGCTTCTCTTTCAGTCCAGACACAGATGGGTAATGAGACAGGTGGGGGCTGAGGTTGCTGACAGTGGCTCAGATTGTGGTGCAGACAATGAGAGCTGAGTGGCTATGCCATCTTAGGGCTCACATGTGAAACAGGAGTGAATGAAGCTGCAAACAGTGACTTAGAACTTGGCAGATAGAATGATATGCTACCAGCTGTGTCATCCTTCGGGTGTGAATATGAAGAAGGGGAAGAAAGCAGCTGATGCTGTGGTGGCCTGCTATACCTCATTTAGAGCTTACTCCGTCCTGCTTGACTTGCCTGCTCTGGTGGGCTTGGCCCCTGGTTATAAGGCAGAATTAAGCAGGTGCAGGGGGATCACATTACTTACTCTTTTTCCTCTCCCTTTTCTCAGTTTTTGTGGGATACATGCTCACTGAGCCCCACATCCAACCTCAGACATAATCAACCTCTTTTCAGGACACACAGGTTTTATCATTAATGTGATCATTCTATCAAAAGTTGAGTGACCCAATCTACATTGGACCTTAACAAGAAGAGGTTGTGAGCAGGTTCTTGGGTCTATTTGAAACCAGAGCTTTTCATTTCTTGTTTATTTGTATTATTAGTTCTCTAACTGTTGTTCCAGTATGGGACCACTTCCCCCAAGGGACTACTTGGAGGAAATTTACTTTTAGTTCCTTTTTCTTTAAAGCTGTTTTAAGTTCATTATTGTACATCCTGCATTTTCTAAGTATAAGATGTTCCCTAGAAGATTAAGCTCCCCAAATCTGGAGATTTCATGCTCTCTAGCCCAAACACCTTGTCTGTCTCAAATGATTTTCTCGGGGAACTGCAGATGGATCAGGGTCCTCCATTAGTTTTGTGTGTGAGACATGTCTTACTCACACACAACCTGCCCTCAAAATGACTCAACTACCAAGAAATAATTTGTACCCATTCTTGAATTTTTACCTTGACCTGTGCACAGGGCAGCCTGTTCAGCTGCAGCAGTTTTTTTTCTGAGCCCATCCCTGCCTTTCTCAGAACTTTCCTACCCTGGGGGTGCTGGCAGAAATGAGGCACTGATCATCTAGGATCTTGAAATCCACTACAACTAGGCAGGGCACATCTCCTTCCAAGGGGAGGGTGCAGACCATTTCCAGGTACATTGAGGGCTCTATATTGGTTGCCAAGTTGTGAGACAAAAATTTTCCAATGTGGCTAATGGACTTTGAAACTATCTCAGTAAGGCTTTCCATGTTCAGAAGGGTGTGTTGCTAGGCTACACAAAGCCAGCCATGCACCAAGCAGTCAAGTACCCCAACTTTTATTTCTTCATTCACTGTCATCACAGTGGCATGCTCTAAAAGTGGGAGCATGACCGCTCCTTCTATCCCAATTGGCATGTTGTTAAGAAGTCATCATTGCTGGGCAGAACAGATCCTGTTACCAAGAAATATGTCTGTTACAGTATTTTATTGCAGGTATACTGGAGGATGCTGAGACCCCCAATCACCTGACCAAGGGTACAGTGGCAAGATTAAAGAAAGAAAAGACAATATATTAATCCATAAATGGGGGCCCAGGACAGTCAAAGCTCTTATCTGCCCAAGACAACTTTTCCTTGAGCTTCCCACTATTTATTGAAAACACAGCTTCCAGAAGGGATAAGGGGTGGTGCAGGGAACACTAAAGTGGAGACCACTGACATGAGCAGGCTCCTGGCAACCAGGGAGCAAGATATTCTAGTAGGATCAGATCATTGATTCATGGGAATTTTGGGTTTTACCCTGGATTAATTTTGCCCCTGTAGGAGTTTTCTGTATGAGTCATGCTGCCCTCAGCTGCACTATTGTCTTGCCATCCAAGACATCAGTGTCCTGTATCATTGAGACCTTTGCCATAACCAGTGGTGTGGAGAGCTGTTCCTTTCCCACACACCAACTGCTGGCTCTTCAGGCAGCCACTGTGGTCTAATAGGCAGACTCACTTTGAATATGGAAAGCCAACGTATGAAGTTGCAGCTTGCTCAAGGTGGACTCCATCACAGATGGACTGGCCTGTGCCTCCTTTGTCTCAAGTTGCCCTTCTAAGGAATGAGGAAACAAACATGGTTATATTTTACTAAAATAGGATTTCTCAAAAATAGAGATTCATATAAAATGGATGTATGGTCAATATGCCCTTTGCAGAAAGGACTACCTTGCCCCACATTTTGTAAAGAATCATTACCTGGGCCAGGTGTGTTTGTACCCACCAGTGATTGCAGCACACTGGAGGCTGAGGAGGGCTGATTGGGAGGGTTCAGAGCCAGCTTGGGATGCATAGTGATTTGAATGACAGCCTCAGCTTCATAGTAAGATTGTGTCTTAAAAAAAATAATAATAATTTTCTGAATTATTTTTGGTTAATTTTTTGTGATGAGAAAAATTAAGATATTTTAATATTTGGATCTGTTGTTTTGTTTTGGTTTTGGTTTTGGTTTTGGTACCAGGGATCAAACTCAGCTCCTTGTGCTTGAAGGGCAGGTGGCAGAACCACTGAGTTAAATCCCCAGCCCCTGGATACTGTTGTTTTGATAAATTGGTTTTTCAATACAAAAGATTTCTGTTGTTGATTTTATGGTTCTCTAATGAAAGAATCAAAGCATTTTCACATATGAATAATCTGACATCATTTGATATTGGACATCTTACATTATTCCTATTTCTATTACTTTCAATTTCCTAATTAGTTGATAAATATTCCACTAAAATACTGAACAGCAGTTTTGGGGAAAAGCAAATTTTTTGCTACTGATTATAACATAAATGTTTTTTTGTTTTCCCGTTCAGTTTAATTTTCTGAGTTTACTGAATTTAACTGTTATTAATATAGACATTTGGTCTTCTTTATGTAGTTACTACATGTGTTTTGATCATTAAAAGATATTTACTATTGGAAAGGCTTTTTGTTCATCAAATGACATCATTTTCAGATTTTCATTATTGAATCTGTTCATGTGGTGAATTATGAATTTTTATTTGTCACATGTTGCACCATTCTTGCATACTATGAATGATTGGGTGTCTATGGCATATCTGTGTTCTCGAATTTAGATTCTAAGAAAAATTTAAAATAATTTGACATGTATATTTGCAAAAATATTGCCCTATAATTTTCTATTCTTCAGTTCTTGTGTCCTCTGTTGTTAGTTTGATACTAGCTCTAGAAAATGAATGAAGAAGCCTTCCTTTCTTTCCCATTTTGGGCAAATCTTTAGCAACATTATTGTCCATAATTCTGGTGCAGTCTGCTATATTTCAGCAGGTAGTTCATGTTATTGGCCTTTGAGGAGAGACAATTGTCTAATACTTCAAGCTCATTGTTTGTCTTGGATTTGCTTGTATTTTCCATATCAGGTAGGTCCAGTTTTGGTAGATCATATGTGTTGAGACATGCATGAATTTTTATCAAGAATTACAGTGTTTTATGTCTGTTTTTAAAATATATCATTGTGATCCTTGGTGTTTCAAGGATTTCTGTTCTAACATTTACTTGTTCATCTAAGCTTGAATAAATCAAGCTCAAGAATTCTTTATGTATGTCATTGTTTCACAGTCTAACTTTTCTAAATAAATTACATTA